CACATGTGCCTGTGCAGCACATCTGTCATCCCAGGGCTGTGGGCAGAGAGAAGGTCCTTGGGGCTTGCTGGCCAGCCACTCTGCAGAATCAGCAAACCCCAAGACAGTGAGAGACCCTGTTTTGAGGCCTGCAAGATAGTTTAATGGGCGAAGTTACCTGCCGCCAAGCCTGACCACCTGAATTCCTTAACTGACTCCACAGGGTAGAGAGCTGACTTCTGTAAGTTGTCCTCTGACCACCACCTTTGCAATGTGTGCAGCCACTTACACACACAGACACACACACACACACACACACACAAACGTAACTAAAATGCTTGTAAAGTTACAAAGGCTAGAGAGCTCATGGGTTAAGGGTACCTAGTGCTCTTCCAGAGGACCTGGGTTCAATTCTCTGCACCTGCATAACGTGGCTTACAGTAACTTGTAACTTGAGTTCCAGGGGATCCGATGCTCTCTTCTGGCTTCTTCAGATACCTTCATGCACTTGTGCATATGTATGACACAGCCACGCACACGCACTCATAATATTGTTTTTCAAGACAGGGTTTCTCTGTATAGCTCTGGTAGTCCTGGAACTCACTGTCTACACTAGGCTGTCCTTGAACTCACAGAGATCCACCTGCCTCTGTCTCTTGAGTGCTAAGATTAAAGATGTTTGGTTGTTTAGTTGTTGAAGTTCTTCTTCTTCTTCTTCTTCTTCTTCTTCTTCTTCTTCTTCTTCTTCTTCTTTCTCCCTCCCTCCCTCCCTCCCTCCCTCCCTCCCTCCCTCACTCTCTCTCTCTCTCTCTCTCTCTCTCTCTCTCTCTCTCTCTCTCTCTCTCTCTCTCTCTCTCCAAATCTCATCATGTTGCCCTGTCTGGTCTAGGACTAGCTATGTAGGCCAGGCTGACCTTGAACACAGAAATGCCTGCCTCTGCTTCCTAAACAGAGATTAAATGTGTGCACCCACAATTCTTTGAATCAGTCAACTTGCAGGAATCAGTTCTCCCTCCCCTTCCAAGTGAGGCCTGGGAATTGAACTCATGTCTTCAGGCTTGGCTGCAAGCACCCTTACTTCCTGAACCATCTCACTGGTCCTTTTCTTTTTTCTTTAAACTCTCTACTTTTATTAGGAAAGTAGACCATGATCTTAAGGCTGGTCGTATGTGGAGTCCAGCACTAGGATTAAAGGTGTACAACTGCCAAGCCTGGCTCACTCACTACCTTATTATTTGAGACAGGGCCTCTCCTCAGACTTGGGGCTAAGATTCAACCAGCCCTTAGGTCCCCTTGCCCCTGAACACTGGGGTCACAGACATTTATAACCACTGCATGTGAGGTGTGGAGATTTGAACTTGGGTCTTCATCGTTTGCTCTCTGGCCTGTTTGAGCCAGTCTCATAAGCCCAGGCTGGCCTTGCATTTGCTAATCATGGTCTCACCCACTCCACTCCGTGTGTAACCCCACAGTGCTGGGTTACAGGTTTGTGCCACCATGCCTGGCTTTGGTATGTTTGCCATGGAATCTCACATTACCCAGGTTCATCTACTCCTGGGCTTAAGTCATCTTTCTGCCTCACACTTCCACAAATCTGAGACTATAAACATCTTCAGTTCTGTTCAAGATGGTTTTAAAGAGGCACTGCACCCTTCATATTACCTCCAGGTTCTCAAGAGGACAAATCTATTCTTTTAAAAATATTTAAAAAAAAAAAAAAAAAAAAAAAAAAACAAAGCCGGGCGGTGGTGGCGCACGCCTTTAATCCCAGCACTCGGGAGGCAGAGGCAGGCGGATTTCTGAGTTCGAGGCCAGCCTGGTCTACAGAGTGAGTTCCAGGACAGCCCGGGCTATACAGAGAAACCCTGTCTCGAAAAACCAAAAAAAAAAAAAAAAAAAAAAAAAAATATTTATGGCCGGGCGGTGGTGGTGCATGCCTTTAATCCCAGCACTTGGGAGGCAGAGGCAGGCGGATTTCTGAGTTCGAGGCCAGCCTGGTCTACAGAGTGAGTTCCAGGACAGCCAGGACTACACAGAGAAACCCTGTCTCGAAAAAACCAAACCAAAAAAATATATATATATATTTATGTATTTTGCCTGTACGTATCTGTGCAGCATGTGTGCTACCTATGGAGGCCAGAAGGGGCAGTCATATCCTCTGTAACTGGAGTTACAACTGAAAGATCACATGGGTTCTGGAAACGGAACCCAGGTCCATATACATTTTTTTTTTTCTTTTTGGTTTTTCGAGACAGGGTTTCTCTGTGTAGCACTGGCTGTCTTAGAACTCTATCTGTAGACCATGCTGGCCACAGACCTACCTGCCTCTGCCTCCCAAGTACTGGGATTAAAGGTGTGAGCCACTATACTCAGTCATAATTTTCCTATTTCTACTAGGAAAGTAAAAACATAATCTGAAGGTTGGTTATAGATGGCAGTCAGACCATCCTGGAGAGGCACATTTCACATGAGCCACACCAGAAACCCAGACATCTCTCCCTTTCTGGGTTTTTTGCTTGTTTTGAGACAGGCTCTCACTATGTGGCCCAGGCTTAATTGGAACCCTGAGACCCACTAGATCCTGCCACAGTCCCTTCCTTTCTGTATTGAATGTTTCTCTCATCTCCTCAGTGTTAAGTACACAGTCCAGAAACTCCTTTTGCTATCAGAGACTACATGTGTATGTTTACATTTATTTTAGACAGACCTGATGTAGCCCAGCCTATCCTGGAACTTGCTACGTAGTAGCAAAAATTGGGCCCTCACCTACACCGTCTGGGATTACAGATGGGAACCACGAGCCTGGTTTAGAACTATATTCACCAAAGGGTTAAAAAAAAATGCTTGCTGCCCCACCAAGGTCTGGAAATAAGCTGTAGCTCACTGCTCACCTCCACTCTGGCCACAGTGAACGCATGCTGAGGTGCACAGCTGAGCTGTAACGCCATAAATGATGCCTTCAGTCCCTGCATGTGCTTTGCTCTGGTGAGTTTGATGGGCAAGCTTCAAAACCCATGGCCTCAGCTACTGATGCTATTCAAAGCACAGAGCCCATCCTTCTGCCCAGACAAGGCATTTCTCAGCAGCCTGGGCGGCGGGATTCCTGGGCTCTGGGCCCCACAGTTGACTCACAGCAAACCCTAGGCTGTGCTCCTGGTCTCAGTTTCCCTGGATTGCTCTGTTGGTACTCTCCCCGCCACTGTGCAGGGCATTAATAAGGGTGAGGCGCTTTGAACTCCTCAGATGAAAGAGGCTGGGGAAACAGCACCCCATTATTATCCCTCCAAAGCCAGGCGTGGGAGCGAGGCTGGCTGCCCCCTCCTACTCTCTGCTACGGCTGCCCACACTGGGAAGCGAACAGCCACTTCAGAACAGACTTTCCTAAGCTGCACTCTCATTGCTTGCAACACCAGATATCTACCATTGATTCGATCAATTTTTGTAACCACATACAAATGCCTCAGCTTCCCTCTTGATTGACCATAGCTCCCACAGGATGGTGGCTGTAAGTTTTCACCAGTACATATACCAAAGAGGGGCCACTCCAGTCAGTTGGCAAGGTGAGCTACGAGGGAACCAGTCTCCTGACATTCCCTATCTCGTCTCTCTCCTGGTCACTGTAAGAGACATGAGGATTCTATGTTTACAGGCTCTTTGTAAAATGCCGAGCCCTGCATATGTGTAGCTGCATGCAATTGGTCTATAGATAAAACCAGAAAAAAGTCAGAAGGCGTAAGCCCTCCTTGGCCTATAGGGCCCTTCCAGTCAGGTTGTGTGGGCAAGACTAAGCCTACAGTGCCACCTACTGGCTGAAAGTGCAAACTGCAGTCTCCAAGTGGCACAAACAGCAGAGAAACATCACTGGTCCCAGACAACTGTCCTAGCATATGTTAAGTATTTTTTCCTTAAATAACTCACTTAGTACACATTTTCTTTAGGCAAGGGCTTCATACAGCCTAGGCTTGTCTGATACTATATAGCCAAGGCTGGCTTTAACTCCTGATTCTACCACCTCCAAATCTTGCACTAGGATCAGAGGCATTTTACCAACACACATAATTAAAATCACTTCATTTTTGAAGAGATCTTTTGGTTCTTTTTTGTAGTGCTGGGGTTGACCATAGCATCTCATTCGTGCAGGCTACTACTGAGCTACATCTCCAGCCCAAGTTATGCTAATCTTTCAAACTTTGACTAGTATTTGCCAAAAGCAGACTAAAACCATGAAATACATAGGATAAAAATAAAGCACTAAGTAAGGGGCTGGAGAGATGGCTCAACGGTTAAGAACACTGACTGTTCTTCCAAAGTCCTGAGTTCAATTCCCAGCAACCACATGGTGGCTCACAACCATCTATAATGGGATCTGATGCCCTCTTCTGGTGTGTCTGTTTCTTTTTTCTTTTCTTTCTCTTTTTTTTTTTTTTTTTTGTTTGTTTTTCAAGACAGGGTTTTTCTGTGTAGCGCTGGCTGTCCTGGAACTCACTTTGTAGACCTGTAGACCAGGATAGCCTCGAACTCAGAAATCCACCTGCCTCTGCCTCCCAAGTGCTGGGATTAAGGGCGTGCACCACCATTGCCTGGCCCACTTCTGGTGTGTCTGAAGAGAGCTACAGTGTTCTCATATACATAACATAAAATCTTGGGGGAAAAAAGCTCTAAATAAGGTCTGCAGATGCTTGAGCTTAAAGCTCAGTGTTAGCGCTGAAAACTAAATCACAAGATAGTCCAGAGCACAGACAGCAGTGCAAGCTGGGGCTGTGCCAGCCGGGGCTGGGAAACACTGAAGAAACAAGTACATCAGGTAAAGGCACCTGTTACCAAGTCCCATGACTTGAGTTCAACCCCAGAACTCAGGAGAGAACCAGCTCCAAGTTGCCCTCTGACCTCCATCCACATGTCTGCCCACCCACACATGTGTACATACACATGCCTGCCCACCCACCCACACACACATGCTCCAACAACACAGATACACACAAACTCTAAAGAAACGGGATTAAAAACAAAGAAACAGACTATCTGGAAGGACAAAGACATTTCTTTGTTCTCCAAATCCCTGGGTCCAGAGGGTTGAAGAAAAGTTTAAGGTCACAAAAAAATAGAAAATCATCTCAAATCATAGCAATGCCATCCACTGCAGCCCAAGTACAGCTGTTCCTTAAGGTTTGGTCCCCACCTCCTGGGGGTGGGGCCCGAGCTTCCAGGCACTACAAAGAGTGCTATGTGTGGCTTCTTATTCAGAAGTCCTTTGCAGGGACGAAGTTTCCTCCCAGCCTGTGGTCTGGCTGACATGGTTTTTGGATCCGTAGCCCGCTGAGCTGCCCATGGCTATCCAGGCCCATGTGTTACAGCTGCATGGCTTCCTGCTCTGCAGTCTGGTCCGAGGATGCTAAGTACTTCTCTTGGATGCCCAGAGTGCTGAGGGAAGTTGTGTTAAGGCTGAGAACACAAGCAGAAGATGGGGACTGGCCTGGGCAGGAGCTGCCCTCTCCTAATGACCAACACCCAAACACATTTCTTCTGCGCCAGTTCCTACAGGTGGGTGTGAGCCACCCCCTCTCAGCCCTTCCTCAGGGCTCCTGTTTCTTCCCCACACTGACTACACCAAAGGACCAGGGAGCACTGGCCCTCCAGTTTGTGTGGCAGATGCTCTAGAGCCAGACCGGGGTGTTCAAATCCTGTCCCTGCTACTCCCTTTTTCTCTTCTGTAAGGTCAGAAGAGACCCGTGACCACAAAATGGACAGAGGCCCAGCAGACACCTGGCACACAGCAGGTGCTCAGAATCTGCTGTCACCTTATTCTTCCTACCAAGGCAAAGAGCTCTATTCTTCTTGGGCCACAGGGTCTTTTCCCTCCTTCTGGGACAGGACATAGATCACATCACAAAAGGGAAGGACATGCTAACACTGGTGGCACATGAGCCATTGCCTTGGCAGTCTCATGAGGGACCACACATTCTAATGCCACATTCCAGACATTTGTCCTCAAGGGCCTGACAGAGATACCTAAATTCCCATCCCCTGAAGGACCAGGCCTTTCCTTTCTGCCTCTTCAATAGCATCTGACCCAAGGAACACACAAGCTGGTCACACACCAACGCCAAAGGCCTTTTGCATAGCTCTGGCTGTCCAGTGGTGTCCTGGAACCCAGTTCCTCTGCCAGCTCATCCCAGGTAGACCTGTCCCCTCTCCCCTCTATCAACGCTCTGTCACTAACTGTTCTAATCTACATCTTTGTCAACCTATACCCTTTTTTCTATTCTCCTTTGTTATTTTTTGAGACAAGCTCTTAACTTTGTAGCCCAGGCTAGCTTCAAGCTTTTGGTACGCTTCCTGCCTCAGTTTCCCAACTACTGGTTTACAGGCATGAAACCTCATGCCTGGCTCCTTTTTGCTCTCCCACTACACATCTTACCTAGCAAGACTTGAAGAACTCTGCTGCCCTAATTACACCCACCACGTGCACTCTCCACACTTACGGGGTAGCTCCTAACATGTGCAGAAGCTCTCAGAAAACTGGGGAGGAAGGTCAAGAGTTTAAGCCTAGCCTGTACTACACAGGCTGTTGTAGGCCAGCGAGGGGTAGAGAGACCCTGTCTCAAAAGGCCAAAATAAACAAATCCTTACCCTTGAGCGAATGGCAGAAGGCAAGGATTCTAGCCTGGGCTATACCCCAGTGCTCCATTACCAACCATGCCTCCTTTCCCATCCTCTAGCTCCTCTTTTTCTTTAAATGGAATACAGCAGGCAAACTGAACCCCTCGCACATCTCCAAAAGCCCAGTACCATTTTGTTTCTAGGCATCTGTGTCTGGGGCTCCTGCATCCGTTCCTTCCCGCGCTCCTGAAGGATACGAGGAAAAATGGAAATCAGCTCCCATTGCAGCAGACATCATGGCCTCCAGGCTTCGCTGCTCCTGGACCCCAAAGCAGTAGCCATTGGCTTTATCCACAGCCTGCAAGACTCGCTGGATGCTGTCCTTGTCCTGAGCAGAGAAGTAAGTCAATGAGTCAGTCGGGTGCCGAGAGCTGAGACCAGGCCTAACTGGCCTCCTCTAACTCCTATGACAGTTCCACACACGCATCTTCCTCGGCCCAGGACAGCCTTCCATTCCCCAGGGGCCTGACTATGCAGACGACAACTGCCCAGATTAGAAGGTCAGCTCCGTCCTGCAGTCTCTGCCTAGGGCCTCCTGTAGGAGTCTCCCTACCATCCTAGAAAACTGCCTCACTGTTCTCTTCCTAGGCCAAGCAGCCTTTAAGGTCAGAAGTCAGTGAAGGGCAAGACACCCTCAGTGTCTGGTCGGTGAGGCACCCGACAAATACATACGTTGTTTGGCCTCTAACGGTTTCCTCATCCACATACAACAGTGAGACTAGTCCATGTATCTCAAGGAGATACAAAGGTCAAAATAATGACAGCGCTGGCAGAGAGAGCCTTCGGCAGGCGAGGGCCAGCATGCACACTCTTGTCACACTGCAGGCGCCTAGTGTGGTGTCAGAGCAGTATTCTCAGCCTTCCTAAGGCTTCTCCCTTTAATCCAGCCCCTCACACTGTGCTGACCCCCACTGTGCTGACCCCCGGCCATAAAGTTATTTTGTTGCTAGTTCATAACTGTAATACTGCTACTGTGTAAAAATCTGACATGGAGGGTATCTGTTATGCAACCCTCAAAGAGGTCACAACCCCCAGGGTGAGAACCACTGAGTTAGAGGGAAGTTAGCTCAGGTCCCCACTGCAGGACGGAATCTAAGCCCACATTGTCTCCTGGGTTATCCCTGCTTTAAACAGACGAGACATGGAGGCCAGGGGCCACACTGCAAATTCAACACAGCCGCTCAGCTAAATGGACCCCTTGGTTGTGGGTCACCTTGCTGGTGACTCTCTGGGATCATTTATGTTCATTCACACATGGGAGAAGACACAAACAGAGGCCTGGTGGCTCAGAATCAGGACTAAACATCAAATCTCTCTATGTTCTTAGCATGTCAGAGCTGCAGGCATAGGGAAGAGATCTCTTACTGTTCAATACCTGGATGTTCAGAGGGATGAAGGAGACCAGGCTGTAGTCTTCAATGAGCTGTACTAGCTTCTCGTTGAGCTGTCGGTAGTGACTGAAGAAAGGGTCAGATGCCAGGTGGTCCAGCAGGTAGGAGAGGTCCAGGACTTCAGTGTAGTAGTCCAGATTGAAGGCTGAGGAGAGAAACCAGAGTTAGAAGCCACTGACACTAGGCTAAAGGCCTCAGGACTGGAGGGGCTGAGGGCATAGCTCAGTGACAGATACGTTTAGCATCTATAAGGCCCTGGGTTCTACTCCTAGCACCCTAAGGGGAATTAAAAATCATAATCAGGGCTGGGGATTTAGCTCAGTGGTAAAGCCCTGGGTTCAGTCCTCAGCTCTTGGGGGTGGGGCTGGGGTTATAACCAATTGACTTGAACAGAGCAGACAGTGGAGAGCTAGCCTGGGTACATGCAGTGCTGGACTACAGCATATGAGAGAAGAGAGGCCCAAGCCTGAGACTCCGTCTTCTTTGTTTCTTTGCCATTATTTCTCTGAGACAGTGTCTCACACCTCAGCTCTGGCTAGCCTGCTGTTCACCATGTGAGCTGCCCAGGCTGGCTCTCACAGCTGTTCTGCCTCAGCCTCTGTGTGCTGAGAGGAAGGGCATGCGCTGACTCCCATTATGCACACTCACTAAGACACCTGCTGTCGCAGTGAAATGATGTCACTAAGAAAAGAAATACTGCCAGGTGGTGGTGGCGCACGCCTTTAATCCCAGCACTTGGGAGGCAGAGGCAGGTGGATTTCTGAGTTCGAGGCCAGCCTGGTCTACAGAGTGAGTTCCAGGACAGCCAGGGCTACACAGAGAAACCCTGTCTCGAAAAACCAAAAAAAAAAAAAAAGAAGAGAAATACTGTCAGGCGGTGGTGGTGGTGGTGGTGGCGACGGCGGCGCACGCCTTTAATCCCAGTGCTTGGAAGGCAGAGGCGGGTGGATCTCTTGAGTTCGAGGCCAGTCTGGTCTACAAAGCAAGTTCCAGGACAGTCAGGGCCACACGGAGAAACCTTGTCTCAAAACAAACCAACGAAAATATTCTCTTGACCTGGTGGCACAGGCTGGTAATTCTAGATATAAGAGCAGCCAAGTCAGTAGGGTTGGAAGTTCAAGGCTAGCCTAGACTACTTAGTAAATTTAAGGTCAGTCTGGGTAATTTAGTGAGATCCTAATCAAAACGAGTGTGCTGAGACTGCCCATGCACACTGACACCTGGAGCCAATCTTGACATGAGGTCAATCTCTGGACCCACACAGGGGAAAGAAAAAATGGACTTTACACAAGCACTCGCCTCCCCCATAAATGAATAAATTTAAAGGTGTGACCTGAGAGGTTAGGAGTGCTTGCTACTCTTCAGAGGATCTGAGTTCAGTCCCTGGGATCTCCATGGGAGGCTCACAACTGCCTGTGCTTCAGCTTCAGGGGACTCTTTGGGTATCATATAACAGGCTGGCCTTGAACCCAATCTCTTGTCTTCCTCTCCCAAGTGCTGGGATTATAGACACGCACCACTCTATCTGGCTAAAATGCTGGATTTCATCTAGCATTTCTTAGGCAGTCATGTAGACGGGACTGTAAACCCATCACCTACCTGCCTTGTTCACAGAAAGTCAGTCAATGGTTGTGCACAGCAGTGTCAAACAGGTACTGAGAACTATGCTTAGTCTCTGCTTCCTGAAGCTTGGTCAGACCTCAGGGCCTTAGTATACACACTGGGAGGACTTAGTAAATGCTGGTCACACTGAATCGCTGTTCAGTCCAGCAGCAAGGCCTCTTGGGTAAGGCACCTTCCATTCCTGGGCCAGTTCCTTAAAGGAGGACCAGAGCAGATGCTCGGACGACAGGCTTTCGTTCATGCAGTTTCCTAATAAAAAGGAAAAGCACCCTGATCGCCACTGGGCTCCGAGGTCAGCTGCCTCAGAGATGAGCAGAGAGACTTGGCTGACACCCTCCCACGTCATTTTCCCAGCCCCCTCCCTGGTCACATGCTAGACATTCACTTTCTTCCTTCTATTCCTTTATGATGTTAGAGTTTAAGGAGCCCTGCTGTGAGCACAGAGAAAGAATCTGGCAGAGAAATACGCTGGCCACTAGGACACTACTCAACTCCCAATGATTGTTCCTGCCTCTTGCCATGTGAGGTGTAAGGTGGCCATCTACAAACCAGACCCTGCCCACCCTCTAGAACACAGAGGAATAAATGTCCGTTGTTTTAGTCACTGGATTGATGGTAGTCTTATTTTTAACAGCTCAAAGTAGGATAACACTTTGCGTCCACTGTACAGGCTAGAAGTTACCCAAAAGTCAGGGTGCTATGACCTCAGAGCAGTGACCTGTGATCCACTTCCTTCAGCCAGCCACTGTCCGACCACCTCATTTTAATTCCTTTAAAGCCCACCTGTAGCTCTCGTCTCTAACTGTAGCATCTGGCACAGTGCATAAAAGAAATGGTCAGAGGTCAGGAGAGCTTCCTTTGCCCCGTGGGCAGGTCTCTTACCCAGCTTTCCATAGTGTTCAATAAGGTCCATCTTGGAGAGGAGGTTGACATGGGGCAGTTCCACATGCAGCATGGTGGCCAGGGAGGTACACAGCACCGAGATGAACTTGCCCGGGTCTGTACAGTAGTGAGAGTCCACGAGGTGGACGGCAGTCAGCTGTGAGCAGAAGGTACAGGGTGAGAGGAAGACTGACCTGGCATCGGAGGAAACTTCTGGGCCCATGTCTCCCTTGGTAGACTGGCAGCCTACAGATCCAGAGTATCCTTCCTCAGTACCATTCTGCTTTTATTTTCTTGTACATGTGTGTGCTGGAGACAGTTTACCGCCTGGAACTCATGATCTTTGTCTCCACACGCCACGTGCTGCAGTTACAGGCCTGAGCCGATTTCCCTGCCTCTTGTTTTTAATTCTAATAACATCATGTTCTCCTCCCAGATGATACGGGGCAATTTTACCATTTTGTCTTTCCTGGGGACCTAACCCAGGGACTGTGGCCTCTGCTTGTTGGACAAGATCTCCGCCATTGAGCTAAATAAATCTCCAATACCTCTTCCAAGGGCTCTTGCATGGAGCCCTCACAGTGGGCAAAGGGTTCGAATTATACCGCGCCTGCCTCTCTACTCTTTCATTACACTTCTGCACACCAACTAAACAATCGCTGAGCCACTTTCTGGGTAATCACTTTACTTCCACTGTTTTTAAAAAATCCCCAATTGAGAACACATTCATTTTAGAGATGACAAAACTGAGTGAAAGGAACTTTCCCAGACCATGAAATGAGTTGGGGGCGGAGCTAAAATTCTATCTCAGAGGCTTTAGTTTTGCTTCAAACTTAACTCAGCCCCTATCTCGCAGTGTTATTTTGGGGGCGTGGCACCTATTCGCCTCCCTGTCTCAGGGACTCCATCTGCCCGACCCAAGACACACCCTGAGGTCCCACTGAGCCATCTGGGAGAAGATGCTGCGTAGGGCGGTATGGTGCGTGCAGAGCTCCACCTGCCCGGGGCAGTCGAAGAGAAAGTAGTGGCCTCGCAGGGGCTCCAGCTTGGCGCGCAGCCAGTCCAGGTTGGCTTCCAGGTACTCCATGCAGTAGAGCAGGCCACCGTTGGGCCCCAGACGCAGCGCGTCCATCACGTCGCCCAGACCCACCAGCTCGCCCACGTCCACAGCACACTCATAAGGCAGTCCTTCGTTGGCTGGGTCCAGGTTCACCACCGCCACGCGCCGCCCCAGCGCGCGCAGGAACTCGCTCATGCCCAGGCAGTACGTGGTCTTCCCAGAGCCTGGGGGCCCGATCACAGCCTGCCCGAAGGCCGTAGTGAGGGCGGCCCCCGCCATGGGTGGAGCAGGCAGCCCACGGGAGCCTCCCTAAGTAAACCAAGGAAACCCAAGCAGAAAAACGAGCAAACTACCCGGCAAGGAAGTGAAAAGCTCCAACTTCCGGATTCCGCCGGAACTTGTCTAGAGAGGAAGTCCCGCCTACACGACCACGGCGTAGGCTGTGGTCACGCAGCCTCATATCTCCCGCCGCTGTGTCAGTCTTAAGATTTCCCCAGGCTTCACTAAGGCGGATTTCCATGCCAGGTAAACTGATTTATTCTCTCACAGATCCGTCCCTAGCCAGAGGGTAGAGGTGGTGAGGGACTGCCGACCCTCTCTGGATCAATTCTCTGGTCCCTTTTCCTTGCTTCAGGGAGCTCTCCTTCAGACAACCCCAAAACAGACTTGACTGTGTCACAGGCAGTCTAGATCTTCAGTGTTCTGGGGTAAACCCACACAAGCACTAGGGTTCGGAGACCAAGGAAAGGCCTTTAGGCACAAACACCCCAGAAGACGGAGGGGCTTTTTTGTGAAACCATCTTTGAGGTAGAGAAACAATGGGCACCCGCAGGTTTGCGCCTGTTGCCTAGACTGCTACTCCCAGGCTGTTGGCTGCTTCAGAGGTTCACATGGCAAGACCTGGGTAGAGGGCTATGTCCTTGCCACAGAGTGATCCTGACCAAGGACTCAGGCTCACTCAGGCTCTGAAGGTCTGTCCAAGGCACAGCTAGAACTCTTCACAAAAGTCATATCTGTCCGAAACTTCATGCTGGTGGGTGGCTGGCGCCGGAGCAAGGACTCCCTCTGGTCTTGGGGCAGAGGCTCATCATAGATTGTGGAAATGAGCCCCAAGCCAGTTCCACGGGGCCTCTTCGGTTGCCCAAATGGCTGTAGCTTCTCTCCATGGTATCTGGATAAAACAGGGCTCCTGGTGAGAAGGCTGCTCTCTTCAAATTCAGGTAAAGAGGTTGGCAAGAGACAGGAAGTAACTACTGCATATCTGGTTTGTCCTAGCTGACATAACAGTCTCATGCTGATAGCACTTGGACCCAGAGCAGGGCAGACACTCATTCCTGAGCCATACCTCCAGCACCAAAGACACAGCTTTACCTCCGGAATTCTGCTCTCCAGCCTCTGGAGAGCTGTGTCAGGAACCTGGGAGTTTTCATTCCCACAACAGACTCCCTTGTCAAACCCAAACTCAGACTTGAAGAAATGATTTCCCTAGGGGCCCCATGATCCTTTTAAGTTGTAGGATTGGGTTTAAAATGAAGACTTACCCCAATCCACGCTTGCATCTAGGGTGCTGGCCATCCCCACCCAGGGCCTCAGGCACCCCAGAGCACCTGCTTCCCAGGCCCTGGCCTTCAGCCCAGCCCTGGCGCTCCATCACCTTCCGGCCAATGCCCTGCAAAGGAAGAAGTGAGGCTCCAGAGAAGTGCTCAAGTGTGGCAGCTGGTGCATGTCCATCACTTGGGAGGTGGGAGGAGGAGATTTGAGTTCAAGTTCAGGCTGGGCTACATGAGACCCTGCCTCAAAGGATGTAAGGAGAGAACGGAATGGGGGGAAGGGAAGGAAAGAAGAAGGCAGAGGGGGTATGTTCCTTGGAGTAGGAGAAGTGGGGAAAGAAGGAAAGGCATCTGTGGTTGACCATGCTCACTTACCTTGGTGTGGCGCTCAAAGGTGCCGACTTGGCGTCCTATCACAGAGCCATCTTCCTGACCCTCACGGAGTCTCCGTTCCAGGCGCATTTGGACAGAGTCACGGGCATCCTTGTCTCCACCATCTAAGGGAACACAACCTATTTTGTAAAAGGGTCCCTGTCCCCAGGAGGATGAGGTTCCGGGTCCCCTCACAAGCTTTCTGAGTCATTTTCACAGTGTCCTGTGATCTCTTTTGTGAGCTTGGGGCTCAACAAACACAGGAGCCACAGCTCGCTGCTTCCAGATGACGGGTAGTGCAGAAAAGCTGGAGAGTGGATGCTCTGAGGTCAGAGGGCACTGACCCTCCACAGGACCTGGCTTCGTTTCCCAGCATGCACGTGGCAGCTCACAACTATCTGTAACTCCAGTTCCAGGGGATCTGATGCCCTCTTCTGCACTCCAAGGGTACCAGGCACATGGTATATTTATATGCAGGCAAAACACATATTCGTATAAGACAAAAATAATAAATCTCAGCTGGGCATGGTGGTGGCACACACCTTTAATCCCAGAACTTGGGAGGGAGAGACAGGTGGACCTCTGAGTTCAAGGCCAGAGTTGAGGCTCACTGGTCTACAGAGTGAGTTCCAGGACAGCCAGAGCTACATAGCGAGACCTGATTCAAACATCCTTACCTAAAAAAGGGCAAGAGATTATGGCATACATCTTTAATCCCAGTATTTGGGAGGCAGAAGGAGGAGGATGGGTGTCTGTGACTTGAAGGCCAGCCTGCTCTACATAGCAAGTTCTTGGATAGCCAGGGCTACACAATGTCTCAAAAACCAAAACAAAATTAAAAAAAAAAAAAATTCCAGGTTGTTTCTCACTTTAGAATTATGAACTGACCAAAATCCAAACGTCTAGCTACTTAGAGCCAGGTCCCCCAGAACCCACTGAGGGGCTCTCACAGGCCTGTCACAGGGAGTCAAGGGCCTGCTGACCCCCAGCATTTAAACTCAACTATAGGTAGCGAGTACTCTCAGGTAGAGATGGTAAGTACTGGCAGCCTCTTTCTACAGGCTCTACACCTGCAGATCCTGCGGTTTGAAAGCACTCAGAAAACAACTGCATCTGCACCAACACGCGCAGACTCCCCATGCCTGTCATTATTCCCCGAGTAATACAATCCCAGAGGATCCATATTCTAGAAAACATCTGCAGAGAATTTGTTGGTTCCTTTTGAGTTAGGATCTCACTCTGTTGCCCAGTATGGTCTCAAACTTGCAGGAACCTTCAGATTTCACTTCCCCAGTACAGGAATTCCAAGTGTACATGACTTCACCATGGCTGGTGAGTATTTTTTTTTCCTGGTGCTGGAATTGAACCCAGGGCTTCACATAGGCTACGAAAGTACCAGTGAGCTATAGGCCCACCCCTTGATAACTTTTTTTGTTCGTTTGTTTTTCAAGACAGGGTTTCTTTAGCTCTGGCTGCCCTGGAACTCACTTTGTAAACCAGGCTGGTCTCAAACTCACAAAGATCTACCTGTCTCTGCTAGGGTTAAATGCCTTCACCACCACTGCCTGGCAATAATTTTCTTTAGAGAGATTATTTTAAGTATGCATGAGGATGTGTGTAGGTCTAACCAAATAACATACCACCGTGTAAGCAAGCATCTGCTGCAGATTTTGGTGTCTATGAGGGCTCTAGAACCATCTCCTCTGAGCACACTGAGAAAGAGTGACAGTGGGTTGGTTGCCCCTGGTTCCCCGACTTGGCCTCTGACAAGCGGGTGTGGCTAGCATACAGGACTAGGGCACTGGTTCCTCCCAGGACTGCTACCCCTCGCTCAGTACCTGTGTCGTAGTAGACACTCATGTCCACGTCCCAGTCATCGGCCGTCTGCTCATCAAAATCTACAGGGATAAAAGCATACGGAGGCATGGGTTAGCGACTCGGAGTTCTTTGGTTCTTGGACTAGGGATCAGTGCCAGGACCTTGAGCAAACTAAAAATGCTCTACCATCCAAGTCCATGTGCCCCCAACGACTCCCAGATGCGTTTCAAGCTAAATCTCAAGTCAGACAAATATTGCAGATTCTAGTCCACCAATTCCCCCATTTCAAAATAGGAAGACCAGACTACAGTTAGATAGAGAAGCCATTTCCTAGCTTTTTTTTACACTGTCAGGAAATCTATCATGTGGAGTGGAGACCCCCAACCTTGGTTTGACAGCCCTTGTCTGGGCACCAGCCTAATGGTCTGGGTCCTAAACGTCCCCACAGACCCACGTGTTAAAGGCCTATTCCCAGGTACAGTGGGAAGCAATGAGAGGTGGAGCTTCAGCGGCCAAGCCAGCGCTTCGAGCCATCTTTCTAGACGCCAAGGAGCCAGGCACCATGTTTGAACTGAAGCGCATGGTGGAGGGCATCCTCAAGCAGCTGCCAGAGGAGCTGCAGCTGTACAAGATGACGTTTCAAAGCTCTGCGCACAGAGTCCTTCTCCAGCACTCCAGAGCTTCCCAATGTGATGAAGCCACAGGATTCTGGAGGCAGTGCCAATGATCAAGCTGGGCAGTGAGGGCCCTAGGCCTACCCCCAGAGAACCATTCCTCCAATAAAAAAAGATTTGGCTGTCAAAAAAAAAAAAAAGAAGTGGCACTTTATTCACACCCTCAAAAGGGACTGTGGGACCCAAGTTTCTTTTCCCTTCAGTCACACCCTCAAAAGGGACTGTGAGGCCCAAGTTTCTTCTCCCTTCGTTCTCCTGTGCACCCCAGCCATGAGGTGAACAGGCTTCCTGCATCACATGCTCCAATTATAACGTGCAGCCTCACCACAGGCATGAGAGCCCACTGCCATGCCTTGAGACCTCTAAACTGAGCCAACCCTCTTCTTTTTAGGAGTTAATCCATCTCCGGTGCTGTCACAGCAACCACAAGCCGCGGTAGACGCCTGGCCTCACCTCCTTCCTCCTCCTGCCAGAACTGAGCGTCGGTGTAGAACACGAGGCCAGAGCCGCCCTTCTCCCACTTGAGCTCAATCTCCTCCTCGAAGAGCCGCTCAGCAGTCCGCTCCTGCCCGGTCACGTCCTCGTGCAGAGCTTCGTGTCGCTCCCACTCCTCACCCCGGTCATCGTCCTGGGAGAAGGAGAGGGAGAGGCGACCTGTATCCCACTTCCTAGAAGGAAGGAGTTTCTGGGCCCAGGAGGGGACATGGGACCTGGACCTCCACAGGATGCCTTCAGGAGGCAGCATATTTAGACCTTACAACCCTGGCCGTCCTGTTCACGCTTATGTTCTGTGCTTTCGGCCAGCAGTTCCTCCCCACACTCCCTTTGCTGCTCTACTCGATCACAGCCCCATGCTGAGCTCTGCAGCCTGCACAAAGCCCACTGAACACACAGCTCTCACTGTGGTGCTAATCAGTACACAACATTTAAGCCTTTCTAAATTACGTCATGAAAAAGAAGGGACAGGACAAGCATTATCTCCTGCTGGTCAGGCCCTTCCTCTAACTGGGCTCCTGGAATCATCCCATTTTATCTATGCCTAGGTTCAGACATAAGGTGATTTGCCCACAACACTAACTATGCCAAGGGCACCAGAACCAGCAGACAAACCCATGGTGTCACCCCACACAGCTTTCCTGTGCTTTCTCCTTTCAACACTCGGGTTCTTTAAGGACAGGAAATGGATAGGAGACCATCTTTAGAACTGAGTACTGATCCTTGCTAAAATGTGCTTAACTGTGCAACGACAGCGTGATTCTTGCCTTAACTCCTCGGGTTCCCATCCTGGTTAACCCCTAAGATGCTGCAGGAACCAAGGCTGAAGAGCTAGAAGGAGGTAAGGCCAGATATCAGGTGTAGTCAGAGGGACGACACCGGAGCTCAGAAGCTCAGTCAATAAATGATAAAAGGCTTCACGACAGACTTCATCACTTGATTCTATTTTGGTGACTGACACTCAGTGCACTGACTTGAGGCCAGAACAGAGACAGACTAAGAGAGCCAGGGAAAGCAGAGGTTGGAGAAGCCTCAAGAAGGAAGCGGGCTGCCATCCTGACTCTACTCCTAACCTCCTCACATGCTCTTGGGTAAATTCTTATACATCTCTTGCTCAGTCCCTTCCATCTATGAAAAGGAGCCTATGTATGGAAGACAATACATTTGACAATCTTTTGATAAGAACTCTGGACCATGGGGCTGGAGAGATGGCTCAGCGGTTAAGAGCACTGACTGCTCTTCCAGAGGTCATGAGTTCAATTCCCAGCAACCACATGGTGGCCCACAACCATCTGTAATGGAATCTGATGCCCTCTTTGGGTGTGTCTGAAGACAGTGACAGTGTACTCGCATATATAAAATAAATCTTAAAAAAAAGAACTCTGGACCTTGAAAAAGGCATAAAATGCACGTGTAAACGGAATCTTACATTCACTGTTGGAGAGCATCTACTCTGTGGAGGAGCCTCAGTCATACACCTGACTGAAGAACCTTGGCTTATCTTTTTTTGTTTTGTTTTTTTGAGACAGGGTTTCTCTATGTAGTTCTGGTTGTCCTGGAACTCACTCTGTAGACCAGGCTGGCCTCGAACTAAGAAATCCGCCTGCCTCTGCCTCCCAAGGGCTTATCTTTAAAAAAAAAATCAGAATCTCATGTGATCCAGGCTGGGTTTGAACTCTCTATGCAGCTGAATATGACTTTGAACTTCTGATCTTCTTGCCTCCACCTCCCCTAGGGTTAGGATTACAGATGTGTACCACCCTGCCAGGTTTATGCAGACTAGGATTCAAACTCAGGGCTTGCTGCTTGCTGGGTAAGCATCCCACCAAATGAGCTCCATACCCAGCCCTGGCCTGGCCTCTGCAAAGTGCTAGACTTACATCTTCTGAGCCAGACTCCTCTTCCTCTTGCTGCCCTTCATCCTCAGGCTCATCAAAGGAGCTTGCTGCTGGGTCTTCCAAGCAGGTTCCCTGGGGGATCTCCTCCCCTTCTGCTGTGTACACATGCTCTTCTTGCTCCACAGTCTCTGAGTCCTCATAGAGAAAGGGCACATTGCCATAGCGCCGGGAGGAGCCCGTCTTGGGGAACTGGAGCTGGAGCTGGGTAATGATTCGAGGTGGCAGGCGGCAGGACCGGATCAACTCTAAAAAGACCCGCAGGGGGGTGCCCACATTGCCATTGGGCATCAGCACTGGTGGATTCAGTTCTGGGAGCTGCTTTAGGTCAGCCAGGGTAAAAGCTTCATTCTCTGCCCTTCGACTCTGTAGCTCCTTCCGGGTCTTAAAGGGAAAGGACCCCAGATCTTAGGAAGGAGGGAAAAGACTGGATGTCAGAGCCCTAAACGATTTTTATCAATATTCAAGCCAGAAGTAAATCCCAGTTTAAACATGTTTCCTATCAGACATCAAGTAAGTGAGGCAGGAGGATCTTGAGTTAGAGGCCAGTTAGGCTAAAACATAGTAAGACTTATTTCTTTAAAAATAAAAGGCTAACAAGATGACTGTACCACAAGTTGTCCTCTGACCTCCACATTAGTGTCATGTGCATCCTCTACCCCCACACATAAATGTAACCCTAACACCTGGTCTGTGCATATGCCTAGGTGTACATTCCTAGAGGAATGCACAGCTTTCTTCAGCACTTGCTTCCCGATGACCAGCCTTTACTGGTAGAACCACTACCTCCCAACTACATTCCAACCCTGAGCTGTCTCCCACTGCACATATCTGGTGCTCCAGACACAAACTGGGTTTTTTAATGTGGACTGATTGGTGCTTTGCCTGCATGTGTGTCTGTGTGTTGGATCTGCCAGAACTGGAGTTACAGACAGTTATGAGCTGCCATGTGGGTGCTGGGAATTGAACCCAGAGCCTATTGGAGAGGAACCCAATGCTTAACTATCTCTCCAGTCCTGATTTTTTTTTATTGCTGTTGTTTCTTTATTGTGTGTATGCACATTACAGTGTACCTATGGAGACCAGGATATAACTTGCTAGAGTTGGTTCCTCTCCTTCTACTATGTGGGTCCTGAGATCCAAGTCAGGTCTTCAAAGCTGATAGCAAGCACCCTTACTTGATAAGTCATCTTTCTTGGTAGCCAGGATTGTTCTGAGAAGTCCGTAAGAAAATGATGGACTAGTCAGATATGGTGGCATACACTTATAATCCCTGCATGGGAGGCATAGGCAGGAGCCCAACAATATTTCTTTTGTTTTTTATTTTTGAGGTAGGCCCTGTCTGGTCTGAAACCAGACACGTAAACCAGGCTGGCCTTGAACACAGAAATCTGCTTGCCTCTCCTGGGATTAAAGGGGTTCACTACCACACCTGGTTCAAGGTCATTGGAACTTTCACAGAGTGTGAGGCCAGCACAGACTACATGAGAGAGAGAGACACACAGAGGCAGCTTATGCGGTATGTCTTGACAAGACACTGCTCCTAAAGACTCCACTTAATCCAGAGCCTGCACACAGATATGCGCAGCTCTTTCTATGAGGATGGCTGCTCGGCAACTGCTCAACCCTGAGCTGATACCAGCTTTCATTTTTATTTTATACGCTATTTTTTTTTTAATTTTTTGAGACAAGGCCAGAGCTACATAGTCTTGGCTGGCCTGGATCTCACTTTGTAAACCAAGCTAGGTGAGAACTACAGAAATCTACCTGCCTCTGTTTCCCAGGACTAAAGACATATGCCACCACTCCTGTTAATGACTCTTAAGGACAAACTGTTTCAAAATAATTTATTTAAACCTCTCCATTTGGCATTTTAAAACACCTGGCTCCCTTTTCCTCAATGGGCACACTTGTGCTTCCCCCAGTCCCCTCTGCCCCCTGCTGCCTCCTTTGGCCTACTGTCAGGCTACTGGTTAAGTCCTGCAGTAAGCCCCCAGCTCTCGAGTTAACTCTTTCCTCTGCAGAGCCTATCTTCCAGTTGCTAGGTTAGGTTAGAAGAAACCAAATTTCCTTTGTTTATTACAAGATAAGGTTCCTTTGTGTAGCCCTGGCTGTCCTGGAATTCGCTCAGAGATCCTCCTGCCTCTGCCTCCTGAGTGCTGGGATCAAAAAAGGCGTTCCTTAGTGCGCCCGGCTCCTTATGTCCTTTTTAAGAAATCATGTCAGTGCAAAATCAACCCCTCAGAGAAATGGTCCTTAAGAAGGGATAGATTTGAGACTTATATATATCTAGATCTCGGTTGTTTTGTTTTGCCTTTTAAGTCCTTGAGTAAAACTAACATGCAAATTGGGCTGAAACCTCAAGTCCGGTCCATTCCCTCTTCCTCTTACCTGAAGCCTCAGTGGGTAGCCTAAGCCTGCGGATGAGACAACGACCGGGAAGCCAGGTCCCCTGAGAGTCCAGCCACCGGCGACCCGAGTACATGCGAAGCAGCCGCTGAGCTTGGGCTATTCCCCTCACCGAGACGATGCAGCAGCGAGTGCGGGTCTGGACCGCAGCAGAGTCCCGGGCGGGGACAGCGCGGGGATCGGAGGCTGTAGCCTGGGCGAGAACCGGATCTTCAGCAGCAGGGTCGGGGGCAGCTCGGGCCGCGTCGGGACTCGCCTGCGGAGGGCCTCTCTCGGGCCGGTGCCGGTAGTGAAAACACAGAAAACCTCCGCCGCGCTGTTCCCGGAACTGGCTAAAGTAGCTCCGTAACTGAGCCGAGCGTAACACAGCGGGGATCCCACTCACCACCAGGTAGACAGCGGACTCTTCCTCCGGCTCCATGGGCGTCGCCATCTTGGACTGTCACATGACTACGTGGCGTCAATTCTCGCGAGAACACCAGGTCTCGGGCTCTGGAGTCCGCGTTTGATGATCGCGGAGTCTGTGGCGGTTTGATACTTCAAACTTTGTTTAGTTGCTCTTGGGCTGTGTGTCCAGTTCCACAGAAGATAGGAAACTCGTGCGACGGGCTGGGCTGTATCTCAGAGATAGCTGAGATGGCCCAGCATGTGAGAGGCTCTAAGGAGGAACCAGTGTGGAGCACCGGGATGCTGAGCGGGAGGTGGCGGGAGTCTGCTGCAAAACTGGACGACATAGGATTAACCCAGCCAGTGCTACCTAACGAGTCTGAAGTAAAAAGGTGAAAAAGCCGGGCGTGGTGCCTCACGCCTTTAATCCCGGCACTCGGGAGGCAGAGGCAAGCAGATCTACTCGGTCAACGTAGAGCCTGAGACAGGGCTATGGAGAGAGGGCCTGTCTCGGGGCGGGGGACGGGGGAGATGAAGAGATGTCCCGGTAATTAAGAGCGTTTGCTGCTCTTACAGAGTACTTGGGTTGGACTTCCAGCACCCACATACGAGACAGCTCACCCATCCATAACTCCAGTTTTACGGGATTGGATACCCTCTTCTGACCTCTAGAGGGACCAGGCACTTAGTGTTGCACATACATCCATGCAGGCAAAACTCTCATACAGATACATTTATCTTTAACAAAAAGATTTTTTTTTTTTTTGAGACGGGGTTTCTCTGTTGTAGCCCTGGCTGTCCTGGAACTCACTCTGTAGACCAGGCTGGCCTCGAACTCAGAAATCCGTCTGCCTCTGCCTCCCAAGTGCTGGGATTAAAGGCGTGAGCCACCACTGCCCGGCTAAGATTTTTTTTTTTTTTAAGTACAAGTACATACATAGACATAGACGACTATTCCTAGAGCCATAGGCTGTTAGATGAAAACCGTATTACCAGCAGTGGACGACGTCTCCCTACAAGGTGTTTGTGTCGCTCACAAACAGTATAGCTCTTGTGTTTGTGTGTGCAGTGTTCAGGGAGGCCAGAGGAGGGCATTGAATCCTCTGGATCCATTTTTAAATTTATAGCAACAGCAGTTCTGCCCAAAATTAGGCCCTTCAACTTCCTGTCATGGAGGGGGGAAAGGCTCATGAGACCCCACCCCTCTCTAAGAATTTTTATATAGTTGATGGTGGATGGTGGGTGTGTTTCTGCTCGGATGAAAGGGTACACTGGAACTCAGAAGCCTAGGAACCAGGGAAAAGGTATTCCAGTGGAAGGGCATCCAGGCGCATGGGAGCCAGGAACCTTACAGATCTGAGAAGTCTCCTCAGCAGAAGCATTGCAGCTCCAAGGGGAGGGTATCCCCAGCTGAGCCGAGGAGCTCAGGAGCCTCAGCCCCAGTCCACATCTTCGCTTCTTCCCTTCTTCTCGTCATGACTTCTTGCGACAAGAAAGTAACACCAGGAACCAAAATCTCATGAGAGAGATATATTGGAGGGTCCAGGGTGTGAAGAGCTGAATCCAGAGATGGCTGCCCTCTGCTCCTGGGAGAGGACACCGGGGAGCTGGACAAAGGGCAGAGATTGTATAGATTTCTTTCTTTCTTTTTAAAAATTATATATGTGAGTACACTGTTGCTCTCTTCAGACACACCAGAAGAGGGCATCAGATCTCATTACAGATGGTTGTGAGCCACCATGTGGTTGCTGGGAATTGAACTCAGGACCTCTAGAAGAGCAGTCAGTGCTCTTAACCTCTGAGCCATCTCTCCTGCCCTTTTATAGGACTTATTAGAGGGCGGTGTTTTTCAGGGCAGAGATTTCCAGATTTAGAATAAGTGGAATTTCAAGTCCTTAGCTTGGGGAGCTCAGAGATTGAGACTTTTTTCACCCCCTTTTCCCTTAATCAGGCCTATGAATTAGGATGGAAAATCCTTCTCAGCTGCAGATGGCATTGACTGAGGCCCCATCTTTGGGAGGCTGTGGACAGCTCCTGCGGGACAGCTCCTCATAATGGCAGTAGGCTGAGGCAGGAAAGGTGTCACCGTGGACAGCTCCTGCTTGGGTGTGGGGAGGAAATGCTCTACTGTGGACAGCTCCTGTGATGGTTGCAAGCTGAGATGTTGTAGTGCCACCTGACAAGAGCCGCCGTTTTTTGACAGCTCCTGTGGCGGCATAGAGAGGGAAGAAGGGGCTGATGGCCACTTTGTTTTTTTTTTTTTTTTTTTTGGTTTTTTGTGACAGGGGTTCTCTGTGTAGCCCTGGCTGTCCTGGAACTCACTCTGTAGACCAGGCTAGCCTTGAACTCTCGAACTCAGAAATCCGCCTGCCTCTGCCTCCCAAGTGCTGGGATTAAAGGCATGCGCCACCACCGCCCAGCCTGGTGGCCACTTTGAATAGTGGTGGATAGTCCTTATAACTCCCCAAGTAAACAATGGAGGCTGGAGAGATAATTCAGTGGTTAAGAGCCAGAGGATGCAGGTTCAATTCCTAGCACACACAGGGCAGTTCACAACTGGATGCCAGTCCAATGCCACCTTCTGTCCTCTTGAGGGTGCCAGCTATGCATATGATCCACAGCTAAATTTGCAAGCAAAACAATACATACAAAATAAAATTAGAATAAAATTTAGAAAATAAGCAACTCACAAGTCTCAGTTCCTAAAACGTACAAGATTCACAAAGTCTCCTCTTCAAGCATATATGAGCAATAAGGACTGCTGGAGAGAAGAGATTTTCCAACTTATCCAGCTGCCTTCAAGTCCAGCAGAGAACTCCAGGGATGCAGCTTTTATAAGTCATACTTGGGTGACTTTTCAGTAATGCAACTGACTGACTTTGAGTCATCCATGCTCCTATATGTAACCCCAATAAACTCATTGGTTCACCAAGTTAGACATAGGGCAAATCGTTGCTGGTTAATTTTATGCAGACTTTGGTCTGTCATTGGTTCCCTGTCTAGAACAAGTAGACACTTGTTTTCTCTTTTATTTTTATTTATTTTTTTAGTATAGAATAGAGTTTATTCAGGGCATGGGGAAGGGAGTTAAGAGGGTAGTAGAGGCAGAGAGAAGGAGAGGGAGAGAGAGAGAGAGAGAGGAGAGAAGTAGAGGCTGGCCATGAGCATGTGGAGAGAGGGGGAAGGGAAAGGAGAAGGAGTGAGGGGACAGGGCAGGAACAAGAAGGCAAGAGAGCAGGAGATTAAGAGCTTTTTTTAAAAAACATTTTTTAAAATTTTGGGTAAGTTTTGTTTGAGTAATCCTTGTTAGCACAAATTATGACTTTTTATTTTATGTATGTAAGTACAATGTCACTCTCTTCAGACACACCAGAAGAGGGCATCAGAATTGAACTCAGGACCTCTGGAAGAGCAGTCAGGGCTCTTAACCACTGAGCCATCTCTCCAGCTCCCGACAATTGTTTTCACTTCCCTCAGAAAAATCACACTAAAGGGAGGAAGAGACTTTTCTACAGCAGTGTAACCACTGGTAAGGGGTCAATACTCCTGTAAACACCCCTCTCCCATGTTCCTATGAAGGGCCTGAATAGAAACTCATTGGTTCACCAAAAACAAACAAAACCCATTAAGTATAAGGGGTTAGGGGCTGTAGAGATGGCTCAGCAGTTAAGAGTGCTTTTTGCTCTTACAAAAGACCTGAGTTTGATACCTAGCACCCACAAGGCAGCTGACAACTGTCTACAATTCCAGTTCTGCAAATGGCACATTCTGGGACTGCCCCCCCCTCCCTGGCTGCATAGCAAGTCTAAGACCAGTTTGAGCTTGTGAGACTCTGCCTCAGAAAAAAAGAAAGGTCTCATATGTGTTTGTTATGAGAATTTTTGACAGTGTAGTGCTTGACCAGAGAGCCCTGTGATCTAGCATGGCATTGAAGGGTAAGAACCCCAGATTGTGGCCAGGCACCTTTAATCCCAGCACTTGGGAAGCAGAGGTAGGCGGATTTCTGAGTTTGAGGCCAGCCTGGTCTACAGAGTGAGTTCCAGGACAGCCAGGGCTACACAGAGAAACCCTGTCTCGAAAAACCAAAAAAAAAAAAAAAAAAAAAAAAAGAACCCCAGATTGTTATTCTGTATTCCAGAACAGAGTTCACTGCAAAGAATCAGTTCTATTCATTGGATTTATGTAAGAAACACGTGAACGTTGTTTACCCGTGATGAAACCAGACAGATTCCAAATTCCAGTTCTTTGCTTCATAAAAGCTTAGTTGACCTTCTTGTCCCTGCCCACTAAGCTTTGAATGAACTTCCTTCTTTCCCTCCCCTGGGTCTCTGACCTTGAGCCAGCTCTTCCGTCTTCTTCCTCAAAAGCCCCTCATGGGAATGGGCTGGATTTGGAGCCAAATATTTCTCATTTCCTGACTCCAACAACACGCTGTGTTTCCGCTGCTTGCCCCACTTCCTCTCCCAAAGCTTTTCCTGGCCTGTTAACTCTCTCCTGTGATAGAAACCCCTGGAGACCTTGGAGATGTCGTTGTCAGATTTCGGAGGCTCCGGAACCACTGCCTTCCTCAATGCGATGGTTTCTGAGCCCTGGTAACTGCAGTAGCTCCTTTCTCCCCTTGTTAATAACCCTTAACCCCTGATAGATCTGTTTTCTTTTTCTTCACTTATCTGTATATGCCAGTATTTATAGCTGATATGTTCGCAAGGTTTTGTGAAACATTAGCATTTTGTACTAATAACCTCAGATTAGGAAGTCAGAAACCAGAACTGTTCCATTTATATAAAGTTTGACCTTACAAACTAAAAACAAAATTTAGGGATGCATAAATAAATATTCTTTAAATTCGAAAAACAACTCAGGACATGCAAGTGATCTCAGCGCCTGGGAGGGCAAGGTAGGAAGCTGACAAGTTCAAGGCCAGGCTGGGCTACAGAGCATGGACCTGTCTCAAATAGGGGGTGGGGCGGGTAAGGTGAATGACAGAAAGAAAGCAAAACTCAAAGAAATTATTAACTGAAATTCAGGGTAGTCGTTAGCTTCGGGGGCAATGAT